ATGACATCAAGAACATCATACATGAAAAAACCAAAAAGTCATTGAGAAGACAAAAAAGAAGGAAAGGGTTTGTGCCACCTTGGGGCCTTCCAAAACCTATAGCCCCTGGCTACCCATGAGGAAAACATCAGGCATACTCAAAATCAAAGGACATTCTACAAAATACCTAACCTGTATTCCTCAAACACTACCTCTCAACAGGCGGCTCACCATCTCTCCCAACTAGCTCCCATCCAACAGTTACAGCTGAGAAATTCACAAGTGGGAAGACTAGTGTTGCCAGGGTAGTTCTCGGTCCTCAAAGGCGAACAGGCCAGAGAAAGGATGGTAACAGTATATTGTCAGGACAGCAGGGACACAAACGGTAGTGACTGTTTTGGGCACAGAGCACCTTCTGTTTCTCTAGTCCCCATTTCTATTATTGTTACAATACCATTGTTGATAAGCAGAGTTGGTTCCAACCCATAGCAACCTTGTATAAGGTTTCCAAGGAGCAGCTGGTGAGTTTGCACCAACCACCTCGTGGTTCAAAACAACTGTGTGGTCCAGCGCTTTATCTCACAGTACCACACCAGGACTCCACACGATATTGTTGTACAGCCAATAAAAGCAAACAAAAGCAGCATTATTATTATTATCATTGTTTTGATGACTCTTCAGGGTAAATGCTAATTCTATCTCTGTTTAAGGTGAAATTATCTAAGGGTTAATGTCATTATAAAAGAGCATGTGCTTTACCAAGTCTCCAAAACAAATACTTCCCGCCTCCACCGGACCGCCTGCCCCCTTGCTCCAATTTCAAAAATCAAAATCCCAAGGCATCCCTTATCTGGGCTTTCTCCCATCTCCTTGAACAACTTGAGCTGACGAAATACCATGGTCTGACCCTGGATGAGGTCCCAGCTGTTTCCCTGTCTCTGGTCCCTCACGGACCCTGATGGCGCTGTGGTGACAACGATACAGAAACTGATCTGGTGGACCCTCCAGGGGGGCATCAACTTGTTTTAGCCGCCCCCACAGTGCCCTCACCAAACCCAGTACAGCTAAGCAATTCAGACCTACCCACCCCACCCCAGCAGCTTCCCGGCGAGCTCACCTGGACAATCCAACTGGGTGTCCTTTGTCTTCTCTGGGCACGAGTGCACGAGGGCATGGTTTAGGGACTCTTTGGAGAGGGTCTTCCTGTCAGTCAGAGAGCTGGGGAGGGAGAAAGCATATTAGAACCTGGTGGATTGGCCTGGAGTCTGAGGCTCTGGACTGGCACACATCATAGCACCCCACTTTCTCCAGGGGTGATTTTGGTTGATCTGCCTCTTGCATGTTCCTGGGACTATCTGCAGAGGGGGTCCCAGCTGGGGTCAGGGAATAAGATCTCATTCCCTAGCCCGCCCTCTCCCCGGCTTCTCCTTGTAGAGTTATGGACCTTACCCCTGCAGAACCCTCACTACCTCCCCTCCCCGCCAACCCCCGCCCCTGCTCTGCTTTCATTTGCTGTGTGGTTCTGGGCAAGTTCATGTCTCTCTCTGCACCTCAGTGTCTCCATCTGGACGAGGAAAGGGTTGGGCTTAGGCCTTGATAACAGCCATCCTTAGGAACTCAGGATAGAGCTGAGGGTGTTCCTAGGGCTTTCAGGGGTCCTAAGCAGGTCCCAAAATGAGGCCATCCCATCTGTTGACAAACACAGACTTGAGACCAGGGAACCCTGTAGTGCAGTGCCATCTGCTTTCACCCCAGGCCCGAATCCTCCTTGCTTCCCAGGCTTGGTGGTCTCGGATAACGGGATTCCTGGGCGTCTTTATCAACGTGGCCTCTCAGCTCCTCGTACCTGTCCTCCTCAGGGTTCAGGTGGTCAGAATTCAACCCCTGGGTGGGTGAGTAGATGCTGTGTACCCCAAGGCCAGGCCAAGCAGGGCTGTAGCACCGTGCCACAGCTGTGTAAACCGAACTCAACTATGCAAACGGAGCCCCTGACGTTGAGCAGTGCACAACCAGTGGTTGTGGTGGCTCTGAGGGCAGGACCCTAGCTCCAGGAAGTTCAGTCTGTCAGGGTGAGGCTAGCCCCATCCCTGCCCAGTTCCCAAGCAGCTGGGCCAGTTACCTGCTTCTCACATTCGGCTTTACTCCTTTTTGGTATCGCAGGGTCAAACTAAGTTTGCGAACACACCCAGGCCCACATGGCGCCAGTCTGCTTAAGAACCTGAGGTTGGTTTTAAAGCAAAAAAACATCAGGAGGTTATGCAAGGAGGAGGGTGGGGAGAAGGGGGATAAGTGTGGGGCTGAGCTGGCCCCTTTCTTGGGAACACTATGAACACAGGACTGGGACAGTCCTTCTGTTGCTATGGAGATCTGCTGGAAAGATGACAAAGCATGCTTCTGGGATAAGGCCTACTGTGCCAGGCAGAGGGAAATAGAGAGTTCTGAAGCTTGTGGAGCTTGTCCTGCTGACTTCAGATCATCGGCTACTGCTACTACAAACTTGGATTGTTTGGTAGAAGCTGTCTCTGCTTGGGGGCAAGCAAGACTGTACTGCTCCAAATGAGCCCTCTGAACTCAGGCAATAAATACTGGAGAGCTGACGGATCAGGGTCCTGCACTGGGAGTATCAGGGGAGACCCTGCTGTCCCCTGAGTCTAGCTCTATCTCAGTCTGTGTTCTCAAAGAAGGAGCTCCAACCACAGAACAAACCCAGTGCTTAAAGCTGATCCACCTGTGAAATTACCAGCTGACCAACCACCCCCAAATTAGCCAAGGCTGTCATTGGTTGTAACCTCCCACAATCTTAAGTGCTTCCTCACAAACAAGTCTGTTTTCAAATCTTCACCATCAAAAGGTACAGACAGCATTCCCCAGACCTAATAAAATGCCTGTAAACTGGTTCTGATTTTAAAATAACTAAACAAAGACCAAATGAAAAGCCAACCACCTAAGGAAGCCCAGGGCAAAACTTACACACCATGATTAGAACCATCTGTTTATAGGGAGGAAGATGCTGTTTGAAGCTTCTTCTCCCTCCCAGGGAGATTTCCTGGGTGTTTTGAGCCCCACACAGTAAGACTGAGTCTTGTATTGTTCAGATACTATGCTCACCCAGATCTCCTTGTCTGTCCTTCCGCCTCTTTTCAATGAGAGGGAGGATCCTAGCCCTTGGCCTGTGTTCAGCAGATGTTGTTGTTGTTGTTGTTGTTGTTAAATGACTTCAAGTCAGTTCTGACTCATAGTGAAAGTGTTTGGGGTTTCTAAGGAGCAGCTGGTAAGTTTGAACCACAAACCAAACTTGCAGTCCAATGCTTATCTATAGCACCACACCAAGACTCCATTCAGTGCTATAGGATCCTCATTTATCCTTGCAGGTGGCTCCCTGAGGGGCTTACAGAAGGTTGGGTGTGTCATTAAGAGAATGTCAAACTAGGCTGGAACCTAATTTTCCAAATAAATTAAGTTTATCCTTCCACTTTGGAATCCTGGTGTGGTGCTGTAGGATAAGCACTAGACTATACAGACAGGGTTGCTATGAGTCAGAACCAACTTGAGGGCCCCTAATAAATAATAATCCTTCCACTTACATGAATCTTGGCAATTTAGTCTCTCTAAGGGGATGGCGTTGAGGGTTAATGCGCTGGACTGCAATGTAGGTTTAAATAGCAAGGTTGGTGGGTCAAGCTCACCAGCCACCCCTTGGAAACCCTATACAAGATCTCTATGAGTCAGAGCTGACTCGAGGGCACTTAACAACAACAAGGAGATACTCCTGGTGTGGTGTTGTAGGGTAAGCCCTGGATTGTGAACCATAGGGTTGGCGGTTCAAACCCACCAATTGCTCCTGGGAAGCCCTGTACAAGATTGCTTTGTGTTGGAATTGATGGAATTGACTTGATGGTACTTGCCAACAAGACCTGGTGGCTCAGTGAGTAAGCACTTGGTTGGAGCTGGACGGTTGGCAGTTGGAACCCACCAGTCGCTCCTTGGGAGAAAGATGAGGCAGTCTGCTTCCGTAAAGATGCCAGCCTTGGAAACCCTGCGAGGGGCACTTCTACTCTGTATAGAACTAGAACGTCGCTACAATTCAGAATCCACTCATTGGCAACTGGTTTAAGGAGTACCACACGTCCCCATCTGAAACGGATGCCCTGAACCTCCCTGTCCTTCTCCCATGCGCTCTCAGAGTTACAACTAATAACACACCTTACTGGTCTCACCTGTGAGGTAAGGCAGACCAGAGCCAGTCTGCTGTACACCAATAGCTGCCAGTCTCAGCCCAGCGTGGCTTTTTCTGGAGTTCTTACTTCGCCATTATCGCTGGTGGGTCGTTTTGAGCATGTGCGTTTACTTTGAATTCTGTCCTGCCTTCTTAGCAGTCATTTCTTGCCATAGACAGTATGCTGGCATCTAGCATCTCATTGCCTTCCTACTTTGCAGTTACTTTGGAGGGCATACTTAAAAATGACATAAGCAAGCTGGGTGGAATTGTAGGTTAAATCTGAGGACATGGTTTCCAAAAAGGAACCTATAATGTTTTCCTCAAAGGAAAGCACTTGGAATTTTTGTGTTTGTTTGTGGTCTGGGGAGTGAGCCAGACATTGCTGTTTTGACTCCTCAAAAGCGTTTTGGGCCCCTCTTCTGATTCTTGCTGCTATTCTGGGAGGACCGGCAGAGGACAGAGGTAAGTGATCCCAACAGGTGAGATACTACAATTGTCATTGTGATCATAATGAGCCTGCCCAAGGTGATTAACCAAGGTCCCTGTCACTGAAGAAAATCATATTCTTTCTGAAATCCTGTATTCTAGAAGTTGGCTACAGGCCACGAGGCATAGTCGCCTGACATAGCAGAATGACAATTAGGGTGGGGGCCTCTGGGGCAAGTCTGACTTACACCTGTGTGTTTTTCTAACTCCCAGGAGGAAGAAGCTCCTAAAAGGATGGCCCCCTAGCACCTTGATGATGACAAAGATCTGGTCTCACCTCCCACTCCTACTCACTAGAAACACCTGGGCCAACACGCCTTTCACAGAGAAACTCCTTTAGTACCTAGCAGTGGTACAGGGAACAAGAAAATACTCAACAGGCTTCTTGGAGCAAATATGTGTGAGGTGGGGTCAAAGGAGGAGTCTAGGGGACCTGCACTCTCCCTTTTTCTTAACCAGCTTTTGGTGGCTTGGTTATTTCCTTCCCCCTCTTAAAGAAACATTATTCTGCTAGAGTTGCTGATGGGAATCAGTTTAAAGACAGAGCCTCCCAAGCTGTCTTCAACTCCTCCTCCAAGAAGCCCTCGGGGATTACTCTCAACACCCTCTTCTCTCCTGGCCCTCAGTCACTCAGGCTTGGGCTTTGAAGGCCACACAGGGCTTGGAAAGCTCCTTAAGAGCAAGGATTATGCCTGATTCCTCTCCATTCTCTGATCATGAGTATTCCTGAGGCATACAGTTAGAGCTCAATAAATGTTGGTTGGACCTAACCCTTCTCAAGTTTTCTCCATGTATGTGGAGTCAAGGGGAGCCTCGTTTTCGCTGTGAGTCCCTTAAGGCTATCTCCTACCGATTGCTGTTGTCCTATCTGCTCCGCCCACCTTAGTAGCCCAGTCACTATGCCATAGGTGTTCAACTAAGGCTTTCTCAAAGCAAGATAGCATTTAAGTTCCACCGAGTTTTACTAGATGTGTGACCTGGGGCAAGTGACTGTTCTTCTCTGAGCCTGAGTTTTCTGCCCGCCATGGTGAGGATCAGATGACACAATGAGAAGTGTCTAGCTCTGTCAGATCACATTATTACTGGTATCTCTCACGGGCCTTTCAGGGAGTGAGAAGTGGCAAGATTCTGTAGGGAGATTAGGAAGGGAGCCAAGTGGGATGAAAGCCCCTAAACCCAGGTCTGGGATCCCGGTGTGGTGCCAAGCGCTGGTGCTGTCTCCAGGGGGCAGGAGTCGGGGAGGAGGGAGGGAGTCTGGGGCCTTACACGGTCCTCAGGACGGAGCGGGCACACCTGAGCAGCAGTGTCTCTGGCATGGTACCTGTGGGGCAACTGCCCCCTGTGTGGTCACCCGGGAGAGAGGGGGAACCTCAGAGGATGTGCCACATGGTCCCCCGGGAGAGCCACACTGGCCCAGAGGCGCGCAGCTCCACCACACCGCCCTGAAACAGAGACACAGCGTGAGTCACGGCCCCAGCTAGGACTGGGTGGGGGCAGTCACCTTTCTTCCTGGGAGTGACTCACGGTTCCTGAGGCTGGGCACCTGGGCTCCTGAGGCTAGGCAGCTGGCGGCAATTTATTGCCTCCTAAACCCACACTAGGACTGAGCACAACACAAAGGAGGTGGCTCTCTGGGGCCTCGGGTCTCTCTACACCCCAAGGTCAGTTACTCCCCAGGATGCACAGATAGCTCCATTTCCAGGGGCCACCATTCCACCCTGACTGTTACCTATTCTTGCTCTCACTCATCTCTGCTCCGGGGGACAGTCAAAAGGAGAGCCCTTCTCCCAGAACACTGAAGAATGTTCTCAAATATAAGAAATATCTAACAGAGCAAAGCAGTCATCCTCCAAACCCCAGGTCCTGGCTACACCAGCTGGTCCCTCAGTACAGAAGTATGCTTCTGATTCCACATTGGCCTCTCCATTACCTCATCTCCCTGCACTTTGCACGGACTGCCTTCCTCAAAGACAAGACCACTGACAGCTCTCTTCCCATTCCCAACCCTCAGGCCCCAGGGGAGACTCACGGTGGCAGAGGGTGTGCTTGGGAGGGTCTGGCTGACTCCGGGTCCTCCTAGTTCTCCTTTTTGTGGCTGGCACACACAGGGCTCAACATCCCCTCTGCTCCCACAGCTAAAGCATCATGAGTGTGAGAGCCAGCCACTGGGGGTGTCCCAGGTTCTGAGTGATGAGACAGTGGGGCTGGGCGTGGGTGAGGACCCGCCCCAGCTCGCCCTGGGCTGCTTGTAAGGTGTGGCCCAGGTACCTCTGACCCACATGGCACCGGCCCTAGCTACCCACCTACCTGACGCTTACATAAGAGGGGCGGGAGACAGGAGAGGGGACCTGCTGGTGCAGTAGATTGTTGGCTACCCTCCTTGGAGACACTCCTCTTGCCTCTGGGCCTTCCACTGGAGAGCCAGCCCTGGGCCCCCCTAGGGATGGGTGGGAAGCTGTCCTTTACACATCTTTATTTTTACTAAGCAAAGCACACACCCTCTACTAACTGCTTTGTTGACATGTGTTGTCTCCTTAAATCATCACTGTTTTGCCTAATTTAGGTTTTATTCATAGTCCCATTTTCCAGATGAGCAAATGGAGGCCCAAGAGCTTCAGACAGTGTCAAGCAACAAGTGGCAGAGATGGCATTTTAGGCTTCTGTGGCAAACTCAGAAGCTGGGACACCTTGCACATTAGGTTATCCATTATTTGCATCATAAAACTCAGTCAACTGTTCCATCTCCTCCTCTTCCTCCCCTGCCTCACTTCCTTGACAGCCATATTCCATGGTAACAAAACATCTCTGCGCCTTGCTCTTTGCTCCCTAATGGCCCCTCCACGTCTTCCTACGTTTCAGAGAAAGTAGACTTATGATACAGTTGACTGCTTCCTTTTAAAACCTGCTTCCTAGATGGGAGAACAATTAGACAGGTCTCAATGGGCTAAGTGAGACAGAGGTAAATAATGATATATGCACAACCTGGGAACAACAGGGTTCTGGGATACAGAGATCGA